AACTCTACCTGTATTAGACTCCAACTGCAGAATCCACTATATCCAATAAATTATAAGATTATAGCTGTATGATAACATTGGAACGCAGAGTATTCGCCAAGGAAATCGTTGTATGTTGAAGTAGATACAATGCAGTCCTACTTTCAGTCTCCATCCTGTAACCTTCTACACTTCACTTGTTGGGTATATTAAACTAAGAGATTATGTTGCTCCTGATGTGATGGAAAGTTTCAGTTATCCACGACAGAGTTCAATTACAGGTTTGTCATATTTTATAATATTTCAAGTTGTTATTCATCGTAGACCGACATCAGCTGGAGGAACAAAGGAAACCTGGAAGCACTGGACAGCTGTTTCGTCCTAGTATGGGACTAAGCAGAACGCACCCACGACCCCGCCAGGGATAGAACCCGCTACCTTCAGGTTCCGCGGCCAGCGCGTTGCCATTGAGCCACTTGAAATATTTCCAAATCCCCACAACTCCCTCAAAATCCAGTTGAACTGGTGCTCATTGATGACTAGCCTCGAGAAGTATTCCGAAGTTCCTATGACAAGTCGTGACCGGTGGAGTCAAACCAGATGGTCGTGAGGACAGTTACTTAACGATGACATTGGTTGGCGGTTGCGCTATATCGTGAACTGACAGAAGTTGGGAATATGGAGCATTGGCTTAGTGGTAACGCAATGGCCGCGGGACCTGAAGGTCGCGGGTTCTATCCCTGGCGGGGTCGTGAGTGTGCACTGCTGAGGAGTCCCATACTGAGACAAAACAGCTGTCCAGTGCTCCCAGGTTTCCTTTGTTCCTCCAACTGATGTTAGTCTACGATGAATAACAACTTGAAATATTTCCATATCTCCGCAACTCCTTCAATACTTTATAATATTCCAATCATCCGTTCCTAAACATTACATTCATTATTCCACAGATCTAGACGAAAGTTTCATGCACAAAGGGTGTGCATTTCTCCAAGTTACTTAATATTTACTATCTTGAGATGATGGTCAACCTTGCATATCACAATAACCTAATAAGCTATGCTGGTGGAGACATCAGTTTGCTTTTTGTGGTCTTACTATACCGGAAAGACCTGTTGAACAGTGGTAAGATAAAATGCAGTTACTGTTATAGCGAAAAATAGCTATGACATGATAGGGCTTCAAAGGCAGAGTCATACTGCTGGCTGAAAGATGTTTACCAGCATCCGGTGGTCCCCGTGGACAGTCAATCGGCAGTCCATATTGATACTGCCTTCTATGTGAGAAGGAAAGGGGTGAGGTTAGTAAATTTTGATCTGAAAGGGGGCACAATTCCCTATAGATCTACAGCACTCCGATGGAGGTGATACGGGTTTTTTCTTGTCAGGAGGTAGAACATTCAAGTCTCAGTCCCAAACACTTGAAAAGATCGTCTTGGTTTAATCTCAAGCAATTGTCGCTCTGGATCTGTGATCATGCAGAATTAATCCTTTTTCTTTTACGAGTAACCGGAAGAAACAACTTCTATAATATAGGGAAGCTGGTGAACACCAACCCCCTCCAAACAAAACTCAGTTAACCATTACCCACCTTCTTTATCTCTATCTCCTACCTTGCAGCCTACATTCACTTCCTGATACAATTGTTAAGCCTCTTTTAGTTACCTCGGATTCCCACCCTGTGAACACTACTACTCATTCAAACTAATAAATGGTCGTTCCTACTGTGATGAAATGTTCAGATATGGTCGTAACAGCAGGAAACCTCAGCGCTCAGGTAGGGAAGCTGAGTCAACACGAAAGACACCTGAGATGTATCTACAGTTTCCAATTCCAATGAACCGACAACGAAGATCATCTGATCGAATTTCGGTTTGAAAACCACCTGTTTCTAGTCAGCTCTAACTATAAGCAGAGATAGTGTCTTACTTACCATCGGCTGACATCAAACCACAGATACATCCATATTGCTATTAGCCACCGTTGAAAGATTGTGACTCTTCCAAGGTTGCTTGCTCAGACCCCAGTCACTTGTTAGCATGGGTATGTGTTTGCTTGTACCTTACCGGGAGAATGAAACAGACAGCAATAAAGCCTCTATGCGTTCATTTCGAAGATTAGATGTGTATTTGAGGAGGAGATAGCTAGGCGACTATTTGAACATGGCAACAATTCTGCTTCTGATGAAGTCCTGCTTTACCATCCAATCTGCTGTAGAAACAGCGATAACGATACCTGACATGCTAAATCCAAAGGTGCGAGAAGACTCATTCCAGCTGGCTTTGAACGCAGTGAGGAGTGAAACCAGCTCAAACGTAAATTGACTAAGAATCTTCGAAATAATAGTGAGCAGTGTTGGTTGGTGAAAGTCAAGGGGATGAAAAAAGGTATCAGGATTCTTTAATACTCGACAGTTATTTCGGCCAGAAGTAGACGATGGTAACTGACAACCTTTCAGAACAGACGACGAGAACGTTAGGTAGAGCAATTCGAAGAACAGACGAACATACAGCCACGCTCCAGCTGTCCAGCACGTAACCTGAATGGGACGCAGACATCTGTCTTCGTAGTTGAGAATGCTATTTCAAACTTCAAACGACCCAAAGCACCAAGATACGCACCGTACCTGACCAGAACTCGACATCAATGAACTGCAGGAAACTAGACAACGGTTAGATTTGGATGAGGGTGCATTGATCAAATCTTCACCCTTCCACAGGTTTTGGAATGCAGATTTACTAACTGGTACCTATCATTTGCCACAGTTATTGACCTGAAGAGGGTATTCAACTCTGTCGATTCAAAAATATTGTTTTGGTGGATGAATGTGAAGGGAATAGAAAAAGAGTATGTAACGCTAATCAAAGCTGGTAACTTGAACTCACATAACCGTGTGAAGCCGCATAGAGAGTTTTCTTCTGAAGTTACAAAATCCATTGGTGGCTGAAAGAGATCCCAACTGTCACAGTTCTTGTTCAACTTTGGCAAAGATTACGCTTAAGAAATGATTTGCAGCTAGTCTGTTTTAGGATCTAGAGTGAAGTGGTAGAGTGCGTTGACCACTTCACTTACTTAGGGAGTTGCATTATCCCAAATAGGCTAGTTGTTGATAAAATCTCAGCTCGGATACAGAAGAGTCATTTGCCAACTTACGTCATCACTGCCGCCGGCGACGTATCTGACTTTGTATCCAAGGGAGCGTAAACTGCGCAAACGTTCGCTCTGACCTGGCCACTGAAGGTAGAAAATATGAAGAAATGACAGGTTTGTGACTATGTGTCTTTATAAAGTAGCTTACGTATTATGCAATCACTGTCAGCAATAGTGGTGTCAGGCCAAAGGTACTAGACAGGTTAAAGGATAAGGTTGTGCACTTTGACCAACTGAAGTGGCTTGACAATGGTTTGTGCATGCCAAGCCATCATCTACCATGTCAAACAATGTTAGTCGAAGTAGGATTGAATTGAAAAATGCCTCAGACCAGTTAGACTCAGACTTAGCAATCACTCTACGAATTATCTGACCATCAGTCTGAGTTGAGTAGAAAGATGCACACTACCTGACTGGAATCCACCAGACAACACCAGTCAGTGTTGGCAGACTCTAGATCACATAGTTCACAATCGATAACAAGGATGCAGATGTTTTCATCCATCAGTGTCTTTAAATGTTTGAACATCTTCATCAACCTTCATTTATTCTTTTACCACCCTCCTATCCACTTATTCTCTGAACGCTCAAATGAAGTGTGACAATCTGAACCAATTTGTTTATCTATTTGTAGGCTGATGCATATCACATACTCCTGGCCCTTTACTACCCATTTCATTTAACAAAACCAATTATATCTATGTGAAATCGTAAAACTTCTTGTTCAAATGCATATCAATCGTTTAATTTATTCAATAATCGAATGAAACTTTCATCATCAAATAACACAATATTTTAAAAAAGGAAGGTTAGTTAGTTTGTTTTATCTCATTAAATGAAGTACAATTTACTACTTTATATGTGTAACTCAGAAACGCGGTAATTACAAAACTTGAGAAGAGAGAAAAAGTGATATATGCCGTGTAGCACATGTTTTCATTTTCACCTTGAATTTTGAATATAATCATTCTCTTCTACGGATCAAATTTTTGTTTCCTTTCATAAAGAATATTACATGCAGATATTATCTTGTTCAGTAAATTATTATTATTATTATTATTACTGTTATCATCATCATCATTGTAATGAAGGAGAATGTGCACCAATTAAGTACTTCAGGTGGAGGAGGATGGGAAACATTCACACAGGGGAACGACATCAGAAACACACAATAGTAGAGTTTTTGCTTGTAGTAATAACACTAGTTCTAATCAACTCTGGTTAAGTGTTTCAACAGTTTGTTGCTCTGCTCTGCTCTACTCTGCTTTTTGTGCTGCTCTAACAAATATTGACACATTGAACAGTGAACACTTTGTTTGACTATAATAACAAACTTTTAAGGCATTGATGGATATAAATGTGTGTGTGTGTGTGTGGATGTATGATTGCGTTAATTATCTCTCCCTCTCTCTCTCTCCGAACAAAATTAGTATAATAGTCTCACACAGAGGCCATTGTATAATCATCATCATGTGTCTTTTACATATAGTGGGTATGCATGTGACAGAGTCATACAATTTATACGTAGAAAATACAAATTAGATAAATAAACAGAAATAAACAGAATACACAGTGAACAAGTCTATAAAAGATTGGTTGGAAAAAAGTAATCTTGGCGCAACAATAATAATGACAGGATAGATCAGGCATATTTTACACCTCATCGGTACAGGTGTGTGTGTGTGTGTATGTGAAATAAAAAACATAAAAGAGTAGTAAATCTGATATTATAAAAATGTGTGACGAAAGTGAGTGGAACACTTTCGGTAATGTCATCATCGCGACTGTTGGCAATGGTGGTGGTGTTGTCAAAAGTCAGATACACACAGATAGAAGGGAAGACTATATGTAATATCCACGATAATCTGTAACTCATCAGTAATTAGACGCTTCAAATGCTTTCACCAAATCCAGTACACGTGAGACACGATTCTCTGAAGATGTTGATTTAGCCTAAATTCAAGAGAGGAAGGCAAAAAGCGATCTAATAAGAGTTTAAAGTTCAACAGAACAGAAAATTATTTATACACGCTTGCGAAATATACATACATGCATTCAGTTCATTGTTCTATCAATTATTCAGCACGGTAATAAGTGAAATCAAAGATGATCATCATAAAACAAGAGAGCAAACACCAATTACACACGAATCAATCAGTGAACATATAATTCATGGAGCTGGAAGGTGAGTTGTAGAGAGCGTTTGACAAAATCATAATCGACACTAACATACACTAACTGGATGTATAAATTAAGCAACCAGCAGGAAGGTGAGCTTTATAATCATCCTACGAATTTTAGTACCAAACAAAACTTTCTGCTAAATAAATATTAAGGTAGAGCAACTACACACAACATTTTGTCTTTGACTAAATGTTCAGTATGTAGACTGAATTCATTAGAAAACGTTACTTCTTTTGAGTTAAATAGTCTGATTTATATATAGTTTTTTTCATAGTGAATATTGAACACCTACGGAAACTAAGCGAACAACAACTGTGCTCATTACAAAAAGATCTAACTCGACAAAAGTATTCAGAAACATTGAAACGGATTGATAGAACCACGTATTTATGATAGTCTAGTGAATTCAAGAAGTGTACATTTCAAAAGACTATTATTCATCACGAAATGACGTCAGCTACTCGTATAACTCTAAATTCAATTCCTACTTCATTAATTCAAATATACGATTATTATTATTATTATTTAGTGCGCACTACTCATTGACTTCGATTTTCCAGCCTTCTAAAGTAAAACTGTGATCTTTAAGGTGAACCAAGTTGAAGGTGCTAACGAATATCCGCTTACGAAATTGATTGCAGTTTAAAAATATGAGGTAATAGATTTCACTTGAATTCTCCTGAAGTCAATTTTATGTTGAATAATTAGTGTGTAGTTGTTATTGATGAAGAATGACAAACTGAATGGATATGTTGCTATGGCCAGCTTATCGCTAATTCAGCGTTTCTCTATCTATGTATGTATGTATGGGTTACAAGCAAAGCATCAGTTCTGAAATGATTCACGCTGTTTCATCAAAGTATCTTACAAAATGACGATATCTATGATAAGGTATTGGAAAATGAAGAGTATTCATCTTTACTACCTATCTAAGCTAATTATGAACACAGATGAAGATGAGATCGAATATGTGAATAATCATCATCAGACTAACGATAGACAGAGTGTTTAATTATGTGCTAGACTAACCATCGACTTTAGGAGTAAAAATATATCCTACAGGCTAGTTCATCCGTCTCTCTAGCGATTAATAGGCTTAAGGGTACAATTGTCAGTCAACAAGTTACCTTCTGATGTTTTCTGTAACTGTGTGTGTAAGATTATTTCATGCATCTGCGGTAGCAGTTACACAGAGAATCAAAATGTAACCAACAATCTTGTGCACATTCGTGAAGTAGGCAATTAGCTACATACACATGTGTGCGGGTCAATGGTACTTCTACCTGCCTGCCCAAACTGCAGTGGGTGGAGTGGTGATCGAAACCCGTGAATTACCTACATTTCTTAGCTTACGGTCACTGATTGTTTTCCACAATTCATTCCTATAGAGACTAGTAGCGACCCGATTTAGGTACTATGGCACACAGGCTAGAATCATTGTAAAAGAAAATGAACGTATATTTCAGGATTCCCACCAACTGAATCCGTAATGTCAAACACCAGAAACTTCAACTGCATGATACATTAATGTTTTGATATGGAATAGGTCTAACTTATGATTGACCTATCTTGGCCTGGGAAACAGGGTAGTATCGAAAACCTACAAATAATAAATATGGCTCATAACCTACTAGACAAATTGCACCTGATCGATGGGTTACATTATTATTATTATTATTATTATTATTATTATTATTATTATTATTATTATTATTATTATTATTACTAATAACGACAACAATAGACAGTGTCAATCATTATTCTTAGATGAAAAACTGAATTGTACAACTACAGTTGCCTAGATGAGATCTACATACAACAAGCGGAATAACTAAAACCAATGAAGCAAGAGATATCATCCAAAAATATACGAAGGAAATGCACTCAACAGCCTCTTACACATACCTGTGGTAGACAGTGAACCACACAGCTATTGTATGAAGGCTAATGATACTACAAACTGGCAGTTCAAACATCAGTAGGTGGTGCGATGTCTCAAATCGCAACCCACTAGTTGAAAGTCAACTTCAAAAATGATCAATATTCGATTTTCATAAATGGATTAGTGATTTGAATATAAAATCATTCACTTTGTTTACGATCGAGGTTGGACAAGACTCGACTTTTACAATATCACTCAATGGAATGTCTAGTTCGTTAATGATACTCTATTAGAAAAAAGAGAACATCTTGATATTGTTCATACTATGTGTTGTTAAAATCACATACTCTATTTACTGATGAAACTCTTACTCAACACATGAAAATAATCACATTTGTAAACTGAAATATACCCTTTTCATCTCTGTGCACACACTTGTCAGGCCACTTCTTTGAGATGTCTCTCAACTGATAGCTGCTACATTGACAACGTGGTCAGGTTTGCATATCATAATGACTCAATGAGCCATGCTGGTGAAACACTCGAGGTCCTACCATACGAGAAAGGTCTGTTGCATAGTGGTAAGACGAAAAGCAGTTACCGATGGAGTGTAAATAACTACACTGTGATGGGAGTCTGTGGGCATAGTCGTACTGCTGCTAGTAGGATGTAATGTGAAAGCAGTAGGTGTTTCTCTTAGATGACCAGCCATGCCAAGCAGTTGCTGCCTTCTAAACAGGAAGGAGGGGTTAGAAAAGGTCGGCTCCAAAAAATGACACACTGTCCCAAGTCTTCCGGTGTCGGTAGTATGGGTTCTCTCTATTCGCTGTTAGAACAACCAAACTGGAAACAACAACCCAAAAAAGGTTTTGTAACAGGTCACAAGTAGAAGTTCCATGGGTTCTGTGGTCATACAAATCTTTTTCTCCTTCAGGTACCTTAAGAAAAGATAACCTCCCATGGTGTGAGCAGTCGGGAAGTGCCAACCGCCAGCACGTTTCTATTAGTAAAGCAACAAAATGGTGCTAGCAGTCTTCTTTAGATGACTAGTATTACAAACAGCAATAACTAATAAATATCGATTGTAAGGACCATTACAATGGATTCGAACCATCGACCTGCAGACTACTGGCCCGGTGCTCAGTTCACTTTCAAACATCACCAAGTAACAATAAAACACCAGCCCGACAAACCACTGTTATCTCAGATAGCCTAATTTGTGAGAATCAATGTTTGTCATTTCTCACACAAAGATGTAATACTATCTTTCCAATATACTTCCTCTACTTTCCTATGCTTATTTAAGGCTTATCCCTAAAAATATATTCACCATTAAACTAATGGTCTTCATCAGTCATGTGGTAACTAAGTTTCAGTTCATTATTATAAACATTACTCAACAATAAGGTGATGTACAAAGTATCATCAAGGTTAGTTTTATTATGTACACTAGGCACACAACTGTTACACATGAAACTCTACTCACACATACATGCACATACACATTTGAATTTCTAACAAGGATCATCTTGTGTGTGTAACCTACACATTATCATAGTATAATACACCTTAATTTGAGTAAATTAAATAAAAACGATCGTTTCTCGCATTCTCCACATACACACAAAGTAGTCGCCTGCGAAGCATGAATGAAACCTGATATGTTTGTTACCATGGTGTATACCAACTAATTGTGACATAAAATTGACTATGGTAAACACGAGTTACACACAGTGTGTATACACAAAATCTTGTGTTGTGGCATTACCCTTATGCCTACATCATCATGTTGAAAGTAGATCATCACATCATTATACAGGCAACATCACTTGCACCAGTACTGTTGAAAAGAAAAAATGCAACAACCTCAGTGATAATATTACACTTTACAACAAAACTTTCATCAATTGAAACAGTTGATAAAAGTGATAGATGAACAGGGGGACAACATCTTTCCATCTCATTTTTATAAGAACACATTTTCAATGAGACTATATATCAGATGGTCGGCATTCGACAGATTCCAAGGGGGGATAAAATGACAGACAACTTGACAAGTCACAACAGAATCTCAACCACCAACTCAGTGTTCTAACCAACTGAGCTAACAACTCATTTCTCTGTTTATCCTCAGAATATAATCAAGCTGCATGCATGCATGCATGCATGAATGGATTCATTCTTTTAAAGGCAACACATTTTTGAATCTGGCGGATTATTTTCTGATATACTAATTTAAACAAAATACTGACTAACACTTCAAAACTCAAACCAGGGAGAAAACGCTTCATTTCTAAATTCGAAATCAATGAAATTGATGAATAAATAAGAATTTGTAAGGAGTCACCAGTGATATCGAACAAACTGTACTCAAAAGTGAAATATCTAACTATTCACAAACCGCCAACAAGTGTAACCGTCGTCGTCTTTTCATCCTACAGTCTACTAGAAAACGGATCAGTATAGTCTCAGTGTGTGCAACTCCGATTCTACTGAAGAACTAACTAACTGGATTTTATAGAATGTCAAAGTACAAATGAAGTTCTAAATAGTCTCATTCAAGTTTTTTTTATTAGAAGGATACAGAACCTGTAAACTAATTCACATTAGGTCAACCTTTTCGTTCCACCTCAAATCAGATTCTCTCAAAATTTTATCTATGAGATATGCAGAATTTCACATTATTAGTAGTAAATTTGTTTTTATGACTTTGGAATTTCATAGAATTTCATAGAATTTTCGCTGACCTTTAAAAACTACTAGTCACTGGTTTTTATTACTGACACGAGGAAGCAGCTTCTAAATTCACCGATAAGATGTAAATCGATGCTCCAAGACTGACATACAATAAAAAGGGTACTGAATAAAGTGAGTGGGTTGATTATCA